GCCGCACAGTGAAGCGAGGAGAGGGGGCGTGGTCTCGGGGCCTCCGACAACCTCGGGCCGAGACGGAGGGATGTTTCCTGCTCAGGAGGAAGCCGACAGGACGGTGTTTGTAGGAAACTTGGAGGCCCGAGTGCGGGAAGAGATCCTGTACGAGCTGTTCCTTCAGGTACCGTCGGCGGGGAAGGGGTGGCGGAGGGGCGGGGCGCGTTGAGCCGGAAGCCCAGCTGGAGGGGCGGGCCGCACCTGAACCGTCCGGAGCCCGGCCCCCTTCCGTCCCCATCCTACGCTTGGGTTTTAATTTCGTTCCGCTTTGGCACACCTGCCTCCAGGTGAGCATCTAGGAGGTGAAGTGACATAATGTGCGCCCCATCCCCATTCCCTTCACCTCCGCACTGCAGAGTCCTGAGATAAGCAGTGATTGGGCTTCCCCCAACCCCCAGCCCTGAGTAAGGGCTTCGTGCAGGCTGCCTGGGCCTTTGGTGCGGTCAAGCCAAACAGAAACAGCCCTGTCACTATCTTCCTTCAGGTGATAAGCACCCTCACATCCCGCAAAATGGGAGGAGTAGATTTTACCATGTTTGCATATACATTACTTATTCCCCCAATCCCTTTTATGTGGCGGGTGTTTTTACTGATTTAATGATAAATGAGATTTGAGATGATTTGAGCAGCCAAATCATGGCTGTGACCGATTGACTCCCTGGCCAGTTCCCTTTATTTCACACCAAGAAGACCTTCTGGAAACTCTTCTAGACTTGGTACTTCCAGGATTAAACCTGTCTCCTGTAAGCACTCACCTACTGTATACACAGGTCTCACTTGCTAAAGAAATACCCTCATTCAGCCATTCATTTAACCGTTTAATGATCCAGAATCACATGGCAAACACTAAGAAGGGTGCTGGGCATACAAATTTAAGAGACAGCCCTTGGTCTTTCTAAAAGAGGAAATTTAAAATTAAACACCATAATTTTAGATAATCTGCAGAAGAGAGAGACACAAAGTATAGCAAAGTTGTTTAGAGTGTGAACTCTGATGTCAGCAGTGTGACTTTGGGCAAGTAAATGAATAGCTCAGTGCCTCAGTTTCCTCAAATGTCAATGAGAGTAATAATATATACAATATGATGTGGTGTGAAGATTGAATAAAATAAATCTACAATGTGATGTAGTGTGACAATTGAAAAATGATGTGATTGTTGCTACAAGCAAGTCTTATTGAACTTTATCATTAAAAATGCTTAGGAATATCTTTGAATTTGTGAAATTCAAAGTATGTAAGCATATTCTGTGCATTTGTGATATCATATATTTAATATCAGTAGTAGAAAAGTACTGTATAAAATTGGTTTATTGTATTATTGAGTATTTATCCTTTTACTAATTTCTTCCATATTCCTGATTGTCCTTTGAAGAGTGAAAATCAGGTTTATTGTCTGTATTTTAACCAGTAAATACTGAAGTACAGATTTCAAGGGGGGAAAATAGTGAATTCAGTTTCAAATATATTCAGTTTGAAGTACAATCACATGACACTCTCTAGGAAACTGTCTCCATGAAAGAGCCATAGGTGGGAGAAAGCAATTTACTGAAGAGGTGATCCTTGAAGCCAGAAGGGAACACGAGCTGTTCCCTGGGAAAGTAAAGAATGAAAAGAGACTAAATCTTAAAATACAGCATCATTTTAAAGATGATAATCAACAGTTTTATTTAGATTAAAAGCAATTTCTTAATATATTTATCCAACACAACAGAGAAAAATAATCAATCATTAAAGTACAATGAAAAAGTATTAGCCATTCAACATCAAATCTTAGCTACTTATAAGTCTTGGTGAGTACTTCTTCTAATCATGATCATGGTGGAAATGTAACTTTTTTAGTTGTAATTAACATTTTTTACAATATTTGACTCTGTATTGCTAATTGTAGGTTTTACTATCAATAAAATCTGAATATTTTCAATTCATTTTATTTTATTCTATTTTAATAATACACTATGAATAATATTCTCTTGTTGTTGGATTTAGGCCTTCCTAATTTTTCATTCTTATAAATGACGCACTTACTTAAAAATCTTAAACATATTAAAACACTTTCTACTTTGGGAATATTTATCAAATGGGATTACCAGATTAAAATACAGTTTCTGTATAGATCAAAAATTTAGTTTCTCTTGTAAAAGTATTTAATCTTATTAGAAAAAAATGGCTTTGATATAATGTTAGCAGTTTCTTTATGATAACTCAACCAGCATTGAGTTTGTAATTTCAATTTGTTTTTGAGTTATACACTGTTAATATGGAGACAAAATAGTATTTTAACCTCAGATTTAAATGTTCTTTAAGTTGTTTTGTTAAGCCTAACATAAGAGTAACATATCTTTCCTTTTAAGATTTGGAACTATTACCTAAAATTTCCCATTCTTCACACCATGAATGTTTATTGATGAGCCAGAAAATACCAAGAAAGTGTTATGAGGTGTGATATTTATTTTTAGGAAAATACATTATTAATGAAGCTACATAAAGCTGTTGTTGCTAACAGATTTTTTTTAGTCTAAAGTTTGAATATACTTGATTTTCTGAGTATAAGAAAATCTTTAGATTTATGAGAAAATAATTTTTAAGTTTCTTATAGGCTGGGCCATTAACCAAAGTAACTATATGCAAGGACAGAGAAGGAAAGCCAAAGTCTTTTGGATTTGTCTGCTTTAAGCACCCAGAATCGGTGTCTTATGCCATAGCTTTGCTGAATGGAATTCGTTTATATGGAAGACCAATTAATGTGCAGTATCGATTTGGTAAGTCCTGTCAGTGATGAATCCAAGTGTGCTTTGTTGGTGGTGGTGTTCCCAGAGGTGTAAACATTTTGTTTTCTATCTAGCCTAAGACCAAAAAAAATGCCCCTGTGGTCTCTTAAATTTTCTCAGAACACACGTAGACATTCATAATGTTATACAATTAATTAATATTATCAATTACACTGCCAACTCTATAGCATCTTTTCTACATTAAAATTTTTAAATGTTCTCCTTTAATATCAGCCAGCAAATAACTATGACAATTGCTCTTGGCTGTTGTAAATTAAACAAATCTAAATGAACTGGGATGTACAACTCGAGCTTTTTTACAGCAAGGCTGTCTGCTGATCTTCTTGTCAATGCTAATGTGTGGTATCAAGTATCTACTATTTGGAAGATAGGGCAGTTGCCTTAGTCTGTCTCCTTGAGCTGTACATATCGCCCTGAATCTGAGCCCCTGCAAAAGCAGCTGGCCGAAGGCTGACTCTAATAGCCATGGAGCAAAGCTTCCTGACATGAATGGCCTCAAACGCCTTCTCCTGTACACATACCAGAAGCTGATCATCTTTGATTAGATACCCAGAGAACACTGTACTGTTACTCAAGCCCTTTCATAGTTTGAGGGACTGACAGAGGCATTGCTTATGCTTATGTTGCAATGCTTGCAATGCTTATGTTGCCTCCCTCCCCTAATGATTCAGGCTTATTGATGTAGCCTTTGTTTGATTTTTATCCCTCTAGCTGTACAAAAAGTAAAAGTAGTGTGTGTGTGTGTGTGTGTGTGTATGAATAAGAAGGCAATGTCTTGTTGCAAAGGAAAAGTGCAATTCTGCATTTTATTTTGTTTTCTTTTGTCTTTGCAAAGATAATTGGCTGCATCATGCTCTTAAGTACTAGCCAGTTAACTCCTCCAGGCTGGCAAAACAGGCCAGGCTATATCATGTCCTGGCACATCCCTAGCCAACTCTTCAGCCTCCTCTTTCAGGTTGCCTTCACTTTTGTCAGTGCAGTTTAGCAAACTCATGCCTCTACACAGGAGGCAAATAGCAGTGATTATTTGCCATTTTTAGTTTACAAGTGTGTAGAATTAAACAGCATCCTGTATCTTATATGGAACCCTATGTCAGTACAGTTCTCTACAGCCATTGCTTTGGACAAATCCTGGTTGTAATGCAGTCATTTACACTGATGTAAACAACCTGTAAATATTACTTGAGAGATTAAAGACATATTCATGTATTTTACATGGAGTTTTTTTTAAGTGGTTGAATGTTAGAGCTTCAAAATATGTACCGTGAAGCAATCTGTTATTCTGTTTTTTTTTAAAAGGGAGTTCTCGCTCTTGTGAACCAGCTAACCAAAGTTTTGAAAGCTGTGTTAAGATAAATTCACACAGTTACAGGTAATTAAAATTTTTTCATAAAGAAAAGCATATAAATATGATCTTATTCCAGGAAGGGTTTTTCTTTATTCTGGACTATTGTAAAACTCTACTATTTAGACATAGGATGTTTTCTCTGAAACCATGAAAAGTGACAGAAAATACTTTCATTTAAAGTTCAGTCAATATTTTCAGCAATAGGTGGGAGAGATTTATTTTTGTAGTGTTCTTTATAGTTTGCCATGTACTTTTCATAGCTGTTAAATCACTTAAGCATCCAAAATCTCATTGCGATGGATCATAGAGATACTATTATCCATATTTTATACTTGAATAAATATAGAGATGCAAAGTTAACTAATTTCCAAGGGCACAAAGATGACAAACTGATATTAGCTAGGCTTAAAATTAAGCCTTTTGATATTTAACCACTCTACTGTTTATTTCACTATTTTAATAACTTCTCTATGGTAATTTTCAGAATGTTCTCAAATATTGTGTCATCTGATTTCTTAATGCAAAGGTAGCCTCCAGTTCAGCAATCCCAGAGGTCATGGAACAGACAGTCTCCCAAACCAAATTAAGATGCTCAAACCACACCATTTATTAAGCCAATTTAAAAGATACAATGAAAAGCAAAAAGAAAGTCACTGGATAGGTTTGCATATGTAGGTTAGAATACAAGTGGGCAGAAGGACCATACTAGGCAAGTTCTGATGATTATGCTAATATTCATATGCCCTGTTTCTCTGCTGCATCAACCTTCTGCACTGATAATGTGGTTACAAGGACTAGAGTTGAGGTCTGAGTAAAGGATTCTATTCAGATAGAAAGTTCCTGGAGTGAATCTCATTTGCTTACTCTCTCAAAGAGACAGTAGGGGCAAATAGACTTGGCCACAGAGGGAGTTAGATGCCCACAGGTTTTGTGTGAGTTTCTTAGGAGAGCAAAGACGGGGAGAGCAGCGTAACTGTTAGTTCAGAGCACACATCCTGAGGGCTTGGAATCTCCTTCCCTTTCTGTCTATGAGCAACAATCTGATTTGTTCCATCATATTTTCTATTGAATTATCTATCTGTGGCATCTCGTACAACATACTAACTTACTTATTATGCATGTGTAATATATATTATGAATTCTACCTGTGTCTTCCAAGTCACTTGCTTATTTTAACACAATTTCATCACTATCTCCTAAGCTTATGTTAGCCGAGTTCTGGTTACATTAATATTCATAGACCCTCTTTCTCTCTCTGCTGCGTCAGCTGCGTCAGTGTGGCTTACTTAAGGCTACTCCAAGCATTTCTTACGAGTTTCATCCATCCTGATTGTGTTCTTGTTTTCTGCAGCAGAACTGAATATTCTCAAGGAAACTAGCAACAGCTGATGCTTTCATCCCTGTTAATTCTGTCGGCCCTCTGAGGCATAGAAGAGTGGCTCTTGCGACTGGCAATTACCCAGGCTTATCTTTAGGAGAAGTGCTGCTCCCCAAGTACAACACGGTGTCTTCATTCTCGCCAGCATTTCTGCATCAGTGAAATCAGGAGAAAGTAGGTGCTGAAATCAGATTTCCTGAAGTGAATCCTGCTTCTGCCACTTTATTAACAGTATAACCTTAGACAAGTTATTTCACCACAACGTGCCCCACCTCTAAAATGAGGATAACACCTCAGAAAGTTACTATGAGAATCACATTTTATAATAAATTCAAGATATTTAAAATACTGGGTGCATGCTTAGTAAGAAGAAAAATTGTTCATCCTTCACATCCTTACTTCCTATTCCCTTCTCTCTTTTTTGAGATTTTTTTTTTCAATTTTTTTTGTGGGAGGTGATTGGGTTTATTTATTCATTTATTTTTAGGGAAGGTACTGGGGATTGAACCCAGGACCTCGTGCATGCTGAGCATGCTCTCTATCACTTGAGCTATACCCTCCCCCCCATTTACTTCTTAAACCCATTGTCATATGGAAGCTGTTCTTTTAAAGGTTATCAGGAACTTTGTGATCAACAATTGAGTGGCTTTGATGCTTACCCAGTTTACTCTTCTATAACCGCCTACACTGTCTAGTTATTTCCTTAACAAAATCCACTCTTCCACTGGCTTCTCTGGTACTACTCTCACCACTTACAAATGAGGTCTCCCCCTGTCCTTCTGAATGCTTCCTGTCATTCTGCTGCCCTTGTCTTTGCCCCCACCTACCTATGTTGATGTCACCCTTCTTCACAGTACACTTCCCGTCCTCAGGATTAGTAGCATCCGCATTAAAACTGTGGACTACTATGGAGCAGGTCAACTGGTGAAGACTAGCTGTAGAATCTAGCTGGTTTGTGTAACAGTGGAATTTATTAGACATCTCCATAGAAGCAAATGTTACACTTATAAATGACACTTCAGGATGCTGCCATTTTTAAATTAGGAATCAATATTATCTTGATTAATTCTTGGAATAAAACAGCAAATATGTGTTCATGTTAACACCCCAGCAGTCCATTTAGAGATGAGTATAATTTTTATAGTTTAACAGTGAAGATACATTGAAAACTAAATTAAGAAAATTTCTACTTTTCTTTCACTTTTTTATTTGTAGAAGATGAAGTGTACCATTGTTGATTATTAATGACTTTCTTTGCTTTCTTCATATCTAAGTCATCTTTGTCTTTGTATGGCGGTAACATCGATTAGTATTTTCCTATCAAAAAGCCAGATATGACTCTAAATATTGAGATTTCAATATATAGTGATTAGTAAGACTTGAGGTACTGCTATGTCATGACATTATCAGTGTAATAACTGTTGGTGTGTGTAATTTATCCTAATTGAGGCCTCTTAGAGAATCTTCTTTTAATTATGAAGAACTATCTTTTTTTTTAAGGATAAAGAACATTTTGTATAGGGATTTTAACTTTTTATTACTTCTTTTACCTCCCCCAAGAAATGAAGAAGCTGTGGGCAGATCTTCCTTCCCCATGCAGTTCTTTCCAGTTAATAATGCAGCTTTACCTCAAGAATATTTTTTTCAGAAGATGGTAAGTTTGATATGCCTTTGCCTCAATATATACTATGATACAAACTATAAAGAAGATGAAAACTACTTGGAACTTGAGTTGCTCTAATATAAATCTAGAATGAGGGGAGAAGCTGCCCCGAGCACTGTGCCCACCCCAGTGGTGCTCTGCTCTAACACAGTCATCTGAATTCCCACTCACAGGACCTCAGCACACAGGGGCAGTGGCAGCAAAGTGGCAGATGCCAGTGATGTTGCACTGCCCGAGTTAAATTTGAGTATAGAGTTCCCATTTAAATGACTATTTTAAAAGGTATTTTTAGAATTGAATAATTTCATCTAGTGAAGCTTTTTTATGTAATGTAGTCATCAATCACCTATATTGCTTTTAGACGTGGATTTTTTTTAAGTATATTTCTTCATTTAACCAAAGGCAAAGATTCTCAATTGGTTGAATAAAGTACATTATTTCCAAAGACTCAAAAATATGGTGCCAGCCTAGAAATCATAATGATGGTCTTTATTGTTAAAGGGGAACTTAGGAAATTTTTTCTTCTAACTCCTTATATTACACATGATAAAATTGAGGTTCAGGGATATTAATTAACAAGCCCAAGATTATACAACTTGTTAGTGACAGATATTGGGCAATAACACAGGTATTCTGATTTCACAGGGTGTAATTTTTTGCAAACATCCAACATACATGTGAGCTTCAGATTTTTCAATTAGCCACTTTTTATTTTAAGCATAAGGAAAATTAATTTTTGGAATATACTTTTCTTAGTGTAATGAGATATTATTAAATAATCAATTTTTGTCTAAAATTATTAATATCTTCTTTGTGGCATTTTTACCTTTGATGAGATGAGAAATAAACACACACACACACACACGCTAATCTTTAATCAACTTTAAATAGTTAGAAATTTAGGTTAAAAACTGTTTTAAGAACACGAAGTGTCTATCTTAACAATTGACTACTATGCTGTACAATATGGTGGCCCATTAGCCATCCATAATAAGCTGAGTTTTTTTATTTTATTTAATTTTAATTAATTTAAATTTGAAAGCAGAGACTTGGTTTAGTTGTTGCAAAATTTTTAAATAAGTTTAAAAGAATTTAGGTAAGTATATCTACTTTTTCAACTAAATTTAATGTAATCTCAATTCATCTGAAGTATTTTCAGTGAAAATTGGCATCCAAATTGACATATGCTATAAGTATAAAAGACACATCAGATTTCAAAGACATAGTATAAAAAAAGTGAAGTATCTCATTAATAGTTTTATATTCGTTACATGTTGAAATGACAATATTTTGGGTATTTGGGAATAAATAAAATACATTAATGCATCTGTTTCATTTTCATTTTCATATTGTCTCATTTTATTTTCATTTTAAACTATGAAGTTTCATATTTTTATTGTCATATTTCACCTGTTTCATTTTCATATTTCATTTATTTTCATATATTTATTTAATATGAATTTTGCTCATATTTTCAAATTGTTTCATTTTATTTTCATCATAGGCTCATAGGGCTACTAGAAGATTTAAAACTGCGTATGTGACTTGCATTCTGTTTCTATAGGACAGCACTAATCTGTATTGTAGTAAGCTAGATACTACCGTGAATCTTTATTTTAACCATTTTCAAGGAATGACCACATCTCTACTATGAAAAGTTACTGTCCTTCTTATACTAACACATAGTTTGCTTCGCTTATAGTTATTTGTATTATGAATG